TGCCTAAAAGATCGCCAGGGAAATACGTTGTCTGACAACTCAGATAAGGTGAGTCTGTTGTCCGACTTCTTCACGCCTGTGTATACTGAGGAGCCGGCTTTTGATGAAGGAGTTTATCCCCCAATTGTCAAATCAAACAGTACAATTAGCACGGTGGACTTCACAACAGACACGGTAAGGAAAACTTTGAGGCAACTACAGCCCACTAAATCCCCTGGTCCGGACGGCGGGTTCGCAAAAGTTTTGAATGAACTCTCAGACCAACTGGCCTCTCCGTTATCCAAGATCTTCAAAACTTCGATGGAGACCGGGGCTTTGCCTACCGACTGGAAGAAAGCAAATATAAGCCCCATTTATAAAGGTGGCGAGAGATCAGCCCCAAATAGTTTCAGACCAGTGAGTCTCATTAGCATCTGTTGCAGGTTGATGGAAAGAGTAATAACAACGGAGCTGATGCGGTATCTCGAAGAAAACAACTTGCTCAGTCTACATCAGCATGGATTTCGAAGCGGTCGATCCTGTCTCACCAACCTCCTAGTATCCATGGAGAGCTGGACGAAATCAATTGACATGGGCTTATCAGTCGACGTCGTGTACATCGACTTCAAAAAGGCTTTTGACAGTGTTCCACACAGACGGCTTATATGTAAACTACGTCAAGTGGGTGGGAATGGAAATCTGTTGAAATGGCTAGCCAATTTTCTTAAGGGCAGATCTCAACGTGTGTGTATCGGAAACGCTAAATCGGAATGGGCATCCGTGCACAATGGCGTTCCGCAGGGAAGCGTTCTGGGTCCAATTCTGTTCCTAATATATGTGAACGACTGCCTGGACTGTCTGAGCTGCGAACGAGTAATGTTTGCCGACGATCTCAAATTGTGGAAATCAATAGAGAAGCCGGAAGATTCTGTACAATTAAAAGACAATTTAAATCGCTTGCAAAAATGGTGTGTTGAGTGGTGTCTTAGCCTCAGTCGTAACGAAAGCCAACTTATCCGATTACGTTCGAGCAACAGGAGGGCGTTGAGATTTGAATCTCAGTACTTTATAGGAGGTCACCAACTCGAATCAGTCAACGAGTTAAGAGACCTCGGTGTGTGGATGACGTCAACTCTCAAACCATCGTCTCACTGCGCTAAGGTATCAAAGAAAGCTCTGGGTATTCTAGACGCGAGTAGAAGATCCTTCGTCAATTTTGATGAAGAACTATTCGGCCGAGTTTTTGACGCATACGTTCGACCAATGTTGGAATATTGTGTCCAGGCATGGTGTCCCTGGACGAAAAAAGATTACACCCTACTGGAGACCGTACAACGAAGAGCGACCGGGCTAGTCGGCGGATTATGTGGCTTACCTTATGAGAGACGGCTGGAGAAGCTAAAAATATTTCCTCTCTCTTATAGACAGTACAGGGGGAACATGATCATGGCCTTCAGGATCGTCCGAGGGCTAGACTGTGCTCTTCAGTTTGACGACTTCTTCGAACTGGCGCGGACGACAAATCTCCGAGTCTACCAATACAAATTGAAGACGAAACATGCCAGACTCGATTTGCGGGCCTAATTCTTTTCTCACTGGCTGGTTGAGGGATGGAAAAAATTGCCGAACTCCGTTGTCTTAGCGGAAAACGTCGAGACTTTCAAAAGAAGACTAGATAAACTT